GTTCTGCCTTTTCTGTTTCCAAGACTCAGGCCACTTCTAAAATTTTAGTTATGAATCCTGAATACCACTGACATCATTACTTTAATGACAAAAAAATGTGTCCTAAGATCAAATAACAAGTTTAATTTTTGTAAAAACAGTTTGTTTGCTGTGTCCTTAGACCAGGGTCCGGGTCTCTGGTAGCTTGCTGTTCTAGTATGGCCTCTCTTGTCTCTTAGGTTCTCAATGATGCTGAGAAGTAAAAAGTACAAGTGTTTTATCTGTACAAAACGAATTTGAGATAGAAATCAGTAAGAACATAGGACAATAAAGAAAATGGTAATAAGAGAGAAGACCTGAAGCATTTGGGGATCCTATAAATTACTAATTCATAGAATAATTAAAAATTTAATTTATCCAAAATCATTGGAAATTTGAAAACAAATGTATAAAAGCCTCAACAAATAAAAGTGAAAGATTAGTGACACACCTTTGCAGATAATAAATTAGCCAGATTATTTAATTGATTTTGGTAGTATTAAAAGAGTCCAGGCAAAACAGGCAGATATATTTCCCTACTCTGTTAAGAATTTTGTTTTGTGAAGTTTAGGCTATCCATCCAAACCTGATGGGTGATGAATGCACTGGTGAAAAAAGTGGGCTTTGCACACAATCAAACCTGGGGACACCTGACTGGCCACTTAAGAGTGTTCTGGGGCCATTAAAAAATCTCTATGCCAGGCACAGTGGCTCAAGCCTATAATCCCAGCACTTTGGGAGACCGAGGCTAGAGGATTGCCTGAGCAACTACAAAAAGTCAAAAAATAAACTGGGCGTGGTAGCACGCACCTGTAGTTCCAGCTACTTGGAAGGCTGAGGCGGAAGGATTTACTGAGCCCGGCAGGTCAAGGCTGTGGTGGCCGTGAGAGTGCTACTGCACTCCAGCCTGGGCAACAGAGTGAGACTCCGACTCAAAAAAAAAAATAAAAATAAAAATCTCTCTAAACCCCAGTCTCCTCATCTACAAAGTAGGAATAAAGATAATATTTACTCATAAGATTTGTGAGGATTAACTGAAGAAAATCATATGAAGTTCTTAGCACAGTTGCTGGAACATACGTGTCCAGCAAATGGTTGATTATTATCCTGTTATAAATTCTTTTGAATTTTGGACTACTAATATTTGTACCTCATTTAGATATTTGACCTTTGTAATTCATATTAATGTTTGGGGATTAAGTAATAATGTGTATTAATCTTTCACTTGTAAATTCTCTTAACACTAATACTATTTTGACTTTTTGAGTTAACACATGCTTTTGGGTGAACAGATGCTTCAGTCGTATACTTTTCTCATGATGAGATCAAGTTCCTTGCCAATACACACACACACACACACACACACACACACACACACACACACACACACACAGATGTGCGCGTGCAACACACACACACACACACACACACACACACACACACACACACAATTTCCATTTCCCCCAAATCTCAAATGATGAAATATTGCAATTAGTATGTGCATGACTTAAGTGCCCTTGTTTTATCAGTAACATTTGACTTTAAATTTGGTCTATCGATCTATGGTCTGTTAGCTCTCTCTAATGTCAACTAAGGCTGACTTTTGGTGGGAACTATTTTCTTATTACGTTGAGATATAATGAAGAAGGATGACAACACATGTTTGGGGAAACCTTCTTACATGTTCCTCTGGTGTACAAATGGTGGAAGTGCAGAGTATGGAAGCTAATGTTCAATGTTCATGGACAGGACACCTTATCCAATGTTCAATCAATCAGTAACAGTATTTAATTTGGTTAAAATTAGCTAGAGTGCTTTGGAATATTTGTCTTCTTTGTTAGTTGTTGTTTATGATGATTATTTCAATGTAATAGACCCATTTTGATATCTTGAACATTTCAACTTCTACAGTTACTTGATGGGAATGGATTATGAACTGTTTTGTGTTTGTGAAACTGTTTAAAAATTATGGTGTAATCTATTTGCCTTCAAACATCAAATTATTTTGATTTCTAGTTGTTGCTTTTTAAATATAGGAGTACGGTAAACTAGCTAAAAAGACCACATTTAAAGCAAATGTTATTTCCTAAAACTGCATAACTCTCTTTTCACATTTTCCTTCCCACGCTTCTCTCTTTATTTTTTATTTGGAAATGGTTTTGGTGAATTTTGTTTCAAATGATGGGTTTTTGGATTTTCAACATTCATAATTTATTGAAGTATTACATACTTTTTCACATAAATTAACTTTATCCTGACTTATCTGAACCATAAAATGATTGTTGGTTTTCTAATTAAAATTTTAAATATCATCATGAATGTATGCATTCAATATTTATTCTCTAAGCATTGATTGGTTGAACTTAATGTACATAACAGTGTACCAGGCACTAAAAGTGCTGCACAGTGTAATGTGATCCCATTGTAATGTGTTCTCAAAGAGTTTGTCTTCTAGTACGGAGGTGCGTTAGGCACTCAATATAATACAAGGTGCAAAGAGATTTTTAAAGATAAAATAAACTTCAGGAAGGAGCAGGTAATGTGGAAATATCTGGTTACATCAAATAGAGGTGCCAGTTTTATGACTCATGATCTGAACAGCTTTGCTTTTCAATAAATGTGTTACCTGTCACCTTTCCATTCAATTATATTACTTCCATAATACTTATTTTATTAAAACAATTAAGTATAAATATTAAAATATATGAGCATATTCTTATATATTAATGTGTATTATACAGTTTACTATGGGATATAACCAGCCTTAGTTATTATTAATCTCTGCTAAATATAATTTGATTTCTTTAATCTCAGGCTCTAGTAGAATAAATATTGTAAAGTCATCCTGAAAATTTTTTTTTTAAATTAAAATATCTTATAGGAAATAAACAGGTTCTGGCTTCAAAGATGTAGCCCATCAACAGTCTTTGAAGGTGTTTATTCTTCAGCCTAAGGGAAATTGTCATGGGAGGATTGCTCATTTGATCTTGCTATTGGGACTCTATTTAGAACTGTTTTATTGGATTAGATCACATTACAAGAGGAAGTTAGCATAAGCACATTTACCTTAAAAGTTAGGATATCTGATTAAGTCATGGTCAATATTGTGGAAGGGAGAAAACAAACATAATTTAACAGATTCACAGAAGTCATTCTAGATGCATGTTTTCTGACCTGACCTTTGGAAAATTCTGTTTTAATTTTCTGATTAACCTTATTCTAAGGGAGTTTAGAAAAATGATTTCTATTTCTAGTAGATGCAATCTTGAAACCTCTTCGTAAATTTCCTTAGTACTTGAACTACTTTTTCAGTAATACTGATAAAACTGTGGCTAAAATAGCAAATAAAGAGATTGTAAATTGAAACATGCAATTAGTTCTCTTAATAGAATCTGTTTGAACATCAATTCCTTCTAGACTGGTAGCAGACAAAATAGACTTGGGGTTTTTGTGCATCTCTTTAGCCTTTCATTTTTATGGCTCACTGTTCTCAATTTTATCTCACATTGACCAAAGCACCACTGTGATGCCCATTTTAATTAGAACCTTTTTAACTCCATGTCCCCTTGCACAACTTTCCTATCTTGTTTCCTTCGAAGTCTTGTTATCCAAATTATGTCAACATATGTAAAGATGTAAGTGGTTTGAGATACTACTGCTCCAAGAAGGCACCTTAACCTTTAGCCTGGGTCTTCAATTCTTGAATCTATATCTATAGGAGTGAGTGCTGGTGAAGAAGCAGAATAAGAGGAGGCATCTGGATGCAGAAAGTCTTTGAGTGCCCATAGAATCTCTTTGGTCATTTCTGAGTTTAAATAGGTCTCCTCTTTATTTTCTCATATATGGCATCTCACTAAATTTGTTTTCTAATCACTAAAGTCTCAATCACTGTGAAAAGATGGATTCATTAGAAAATAATCTAAAAAAGTACAAATGATGTCCCCTTTTCAGAGATGTATATTTAGCAACAAAAGTTCCATGATTTGGCACAGTTGATTTTAGGGGATAAGAATTTATATTTCCACTGTTAGTAATGAAAGTATGAAAACCATTTCTGTTTCCTGCTGCAACCCTTACTTCCTGTTCTAGTTATGAATAAGTGATGCTAGAAACGACTGCACATCATCTGTCTTCAACTATCATCAGGAAAGGAATGTCAAGAATGGAATTCCAGAGATCATCTGGAGTTTGTCTGACTTAGATAACGTCAAGTAGAGCCATTCTAAAAATAAAGACAGGATTGTTGTGTCCGTGAGGGGCGACTTATTGCACCATTGTTGTTTTTCACTTATAGCTGGTGCCTTATTTGGTGGTTTCTGTTTCTCAGAACAAGTTAAGAAAAGCCATTCTGTTCCTGTGCTCTTGGAATGCTTGAGTTCAGAGTGTGTTTTTTGGGAATAATATTTGGCTCATATAAGGAATCTGTGTGCTGCAGTTGTACAATTGTAATTTTGATGCATGTAAGGAAGATTAGCATCCATGGGAATTAAGTCTGAGAAAAGAAATAGAGATGCCACTGTCAAATAAAACAGTGTTTATTAATTGATATTATATTGAACTTCTTAATAGAAAACACAATGCCTTAGTATTTTGAAACAGGAGGTCTGATTTTCTATCTTGTTTTTGCCTTACGAGGAAGGTCAGCATAGATTTTATGATATCAGGAAATGTTAGTTATGTATTTATACCCAAGGCTGCCAGACTTTGCAGCAACACCCACTTTACTTATTTGTGTTTATCTTGATTTACTCTAATCAAATAAGGATCTGATGGTATACAGTCTTAAAATATGCCCTGGAATACAATGCAGACATTTTTAAAGAGCTTGGTGGCTGTGTATGCTATAATTGTAGATTTTCTCAGCCATCTATTGAAGTAAAAAAAGGACCTCAGGATTATTAACAATCTTATAATTCACGTCACGTCATAATTTAGATCCATATTTTGGTATTCTTCTTTATTTATTTTTTCCTTCTTTTTAGATACTAGCTCAGTCATGTACTGAAATCCTGGAATTGCGGCCTTCAAGTGTCTGTGTAGGGGGTAAGTGTTTAGAATTTAAAAATACCCTGTAAGAAATTGTATTTTTTCCTAGCTCAAATATATGATTTGAAACTCATGTTGGAAAGAGAATAGCAAAATTAACTTTTTTGGCATCATTTTTGTGTAAGAATTTTTAAATAATTCCTTGAAATATTTCTATTTTAAATTCAAATTTTTAAGATTGGAGTGTTATTTTAAATAATGAGCATATTGTGTGACAGGCTTTTAGAATCTTCTGTATATTTAGTTCACGTTGGAGACCTTTCCTATGGCAAATAAAATAAAGTATGAAATCTTTTCTTGTATCTGATTATACAGTCAGGTATCTGTAGACTCTGAGCTCTATGCTTTGATGACCTGGCCAAGGGGCTCGTACCATGTCTGCCAGCTCAGGGCACTAAGGAAGTGACATGCGGATGAATAGCAGGAAGAAAGCAGGTGGCTCCATCAGCTGGTGCTAAGAACAGACTCAGGTTTTCACACCTTCCAGGCGTCCTTGCCCAGAGAGAATGTGATTCTCTTTGGCCTATTTTATTTCTTCTTCAAGTCTGACCTAGAGTTCATTTTAATCTGACTTAACTTTAAAATGAAAAAAAAAAAAAAAAACCATTGAGTCTGGTGGGTAGGAAATACCTTGTGTAATTTACACAGAACCTCCTGGCCTACTGTATAGGGCCTTATGCTCTGCATATTCCACACTCCCTGATGGATGATTATTGTGATGTTTAAGGGAAATCGTGTATCTGAACACCTCAGGGAAGAATTACCTTTGCTAAAAGTATAGATTAATAAATTTCTAGAGATACCAAAGAAAAATAAATGAACAAAATGATATTATGATAATAGGTATTACATATTGGGTTCTTTGTGTTTGTAATTTTACCTAGTCCTCATAACATTACTATTTGAAAGTTTTATAAGCCCCTGATTTACAGAGGTAGAAACTGAGACAGGTTTAGCATTTGCTGCTAGAAATTATCCTATTTGCTTTTTGTCTGTCTGCTCTAATGCCTATTTGCTTCTTGTCTGTCTGCTCTAATGCCCATGTGTTTACTGAATCACAGTTTAAGTTTTATGTACACTTAAATAATTTTAACTTATAAGTTAAATCCTTTCATAACATACTAAATGGGAAGTGGCCTGGTAGCATTGTCTTCCATAGGGAATGACTATCTATATATTGGGTTATGTTATACAGGAGATGTTTGAGAGAATTGACTGTTAAAATACATTAAAATGGAGATCAGGCCTGAAGATTCCCTGAGAAGACAAATGCAGTTAAGTCTCATGAGTAACCTTAACCTTGCTTGCAAACACGCTTGAAACTTAACTTGAAATATTTCTTGTAAATGTCTATATTGGGAAAAATAGAACTTAAGCTCAACCAATCAAATACAACCAATAAACTTATATAACTAGGGATCTTCTATGGGATAGACCAAAGAAGGCAACCATGTAACTGCAACCCATCAACTCTTTGCTTTGCTTTACTTCCATGTTGGTCCTATGTGCATTCTTTGGGCAGGGCTCCTGGACCACTTCTGATCTGGAGCCATTCAATTCATGAACTGTTGTTTGTTCAAATAAAACTCTTTAAAATGTCATTGTGTCTCAATTTACCTTTTTAACAGGAGTTAATCACTGTTAATATACTAACTTGCAGTCACATAGCAAACATTTAATGCCTATCAGGGTATTTGATCCATTAACTTTCCTTCTAGCATTTTTTTCTTTTTCTAACTCTCTAACATTTTTAGTGCTTGCTCCTGCTATTGTAAATAGGGTGCAGAAAGTTAAGTCAATTTCTTTTAGTGGCTGGAGATAGATTATTAGTGTCCAAAATACGTGCTCTGATAGTTTATATATTTGTATGCAATATAATATAAAATCAGGACTAAAGTGAAGAAGCTGTTAAAAAAAGAACTCTGTATGGGAGAGTCAGACTAAAGAAAATACTACTCATGAGTTTTTTAAGAACCAAAGAAAATTCATAATAGTTTTATTTACTTTCTTAAACCTTAATACCTGGAAGTAGAGAAAAACAAAGATTTTTTTCCGGATGATATTTTCCTAAGAACAGAATCTGGGGAAGGTTGTATGATACCTGTCTGGAAATGACTGTCATGCTTTAATTCTAAGACCTTGGTCACTACTGGAAAATACTTTATTTGGAAAATAAAATAATGCATCCCTACATGACCATAAATGGTATCTTCCTTACATTTACCTGAGGGGTCTAAGAAGGCAAGCATGTTGGAAATGTGGAGCTCTGTCTTTATTGTTATTAGTATGAAAATATTTATTTTATGTGTCTGAATACTTTCATTTCAAGTTGTCTTTTTTTGGGTAAAGCAGTGATTTAAATGTTTATTTTTTCTTTTCCTTTTAGAGGAATTTCAAATTGTTTTGAATGGAAGAGGATTCTCGCTGGGCAGTCGGAATGGCAGTGTCCTCTGTACTTACACTGTAAATGAAACATACACAAAGAGTAGGTCCCCTGGGAACCTCAGGGTTACCTTTATGTCTACAGCATGTCAGCGTCAAGCGTTGTCTCCTGTTCCCCAACTAAAACCATCTGTGCTATATTTCTCAATCAAAGAGGAAAGAAGTGACATCCCAGGGCTAATACAAATAATAATAATTATTTAATAGTTACTAATGGCAACGTGTTTTAACTTAATAAATGCTCAACCTTATTCTAGGTAAACCCATTATATAGTTAATGATTTGCAGCTTAAGCAATAAAACAATTTGCCTGTGGTGACACAATTAAAAATAGGCAGTGCAGGCATTGGAACCAGCTTTCCTGACTGTTCCACATAGACTGCACCAAGCCCTGACTTCATTGCCTCTGTCCCAGATTTATTTCTTGCCACTCTTACCTTAAGATGGAATGATGCCTGGGCAACATGGCGAGACCTCATCTCTACAATAAATAAATAAAAAATTAGCCAGGTGTGGTAGTGTGCGCCTGTAGTTCCAGCTATTTGGAAGGCTGAGGTGGAAGGATCCCCGGAGCTCAGTATATTGAGGCTGTGGTGGCCGGGAGTGGCCACTGCACTCCAGTCTGGGTGACAGAGTGAGACTCTGACTCAAAAAAAAAAAGATGGAATGATGTTGGTCTACTCTGCTACTTGTTGCTTTATCTTTTCTCACTTGTTTTCTTTATCTAAATTCCCAATAATTTGACAGCCAGTTTCTTGAACACAGGTTTTTTTTTGTAGCAAATACTTTTTGCATCTCCAATACCCGTCTGATAAGGTTTTTTTTTAAAAAAATTTATATTTATGGAATTGAGTTTTCATTTTTCCTGGTCTTGACTTTCAGAAAAGCTGGAGTTTTTTTATTTTAAGAGAAAAACTCTGTCTCTTGATGGATCTTAATTTTCTGAGCATTTCAAATCTCTATTAAGACATTTTTCTTATGGATGGTTATATTGTCCTCTAAAAAATTATATTGTAAGGCAGACTCTATAATCCTATACACACTGGTAGAGTTATTTTTGGAGAGATTCATTTACAATTTTGCTGTCTATCCAATGGGGCTAAACACTTCAACTAGCACAGCTTTGACCACACACATAGTCACTGTTCAGTATGTGTTTGTTGAATTAAAGAGCTGAGGATCTCAGCATGGTAAATGTCATAATTAATTCCTTTTTAAATTAAGTTAATCATTTTAGTGGGGCAAAACAATAATATTTGTAACAAACGTTCTTCATAGTAAGTTCCACAATTAAGATAATTTTATTTTTATTCAGTAGTCATTTGTATCTAAGCGTTAGCTTTTTCTAACTCCTTTTGAGTCTAATATAATATAAACTTATTTTAGGATTAGCTATATAAGGTTAAGCTTTTTAAGTAAATTCTTAAACAAATAAATAGAGTCAAAATTGTATTTTTAACTTATATATTCTATGATAATTCTATCCAGTAATTTTCTCTGAAAATTTCTAGTCTAGATTTATTTCATATTATTAAAATTATAAGAAAAATGTAAGCACTTATAAAATGTATTTACTTATTGTAGATGTATCTATGTTATTAAACTTGTAAAATAAGTTTATTTTTCTTTGGACATTCATTTTCCTTTCTCCATCCTCTCTAAATTCTGCTTTAGAATGTAGATATTATTTATTTTAAAAAATATGAAATATTTGAAAAATTTATAAGAAAAAGATGATATTGTATATTGTCTACAATTGTATGTGAATTTAATATAAGTCAAAAAATCCTAACTTATGATTTGCTATCACTATCTGTCAGTGGAGCATATAATCTCTTCATTTTTCATGACCTTTTTCTTTTTCTTTAGGTTTTTGACATTAATATATCTAATATTCTACACTTGGACTCTGATTATAGAATGTTTTTCATATTATTAATAATCTGTGTAAGATGCATAAAACACTTTACATTAATTCAATGGCATTTCTTTTCTAGGTGTAAGACCAGTAAGTGTACAGCTTAATTCTATGCTTTGCCCTGCACCCATCCTGAATAAAGCTGGAGAGTAAGTACTTCCTGTAAAACATTTAAAGAACATTTTTAGAGACAAATTATTAGTAAGTATATATAGATGATTTTATTGTATTTTTTGTATGTACAGAAGAAACATTAAACAATAAGTGCTAGACAAGTCACACTAGTTTGTTCTTCAAGTATAATCTTAGTAGGTTGAAAATGCTAAAATTATTTTTATATTGTTTTTAAATATTGATTGAAAGACTTCTTAAATATTTATCTGGATAGGTTTGAGAACTATTGCCAGAATCTATAAATAACCAGAGCCATAGCCATCATTTTAAGCTGTATGGTACTGAATTTACACGTGTTCACACAGCATTCTGAAATGAGCCTTGAGTAATTACTATAGTATTTACTACAGATTGAGATTAAAGAATATCAGGAACATGGTTCAACATGGCACACCTTGGACTGGGAGATATTTGCTCATTTGTATTAATTTATGTCTTAATTGATGTCCCATTTCTGTTAACATCTATTCTCTCATCTTCATTTATGTGGTATAAAACCACGATATCTGATTAAAAGAAGGAATATTTATTTTGGAAGGAGGGCTTTTTGAATTATCTGTGATCTTTTTATATAGATCTTACACTGAAAGCAAGGAAAAATTAAATATACAAGGTCACAATCCAAAGTCTGGATTAGTATTTAGAGGGTGAAAATGATATTTTTCTCCATGGAAACTAAGAAAATCATTTTAGTACTTTAAACTTGACCTGAACATTTAAATTTTGTGGATACTTAAATATTCAGGCTATTTATTGTGCAGCACTTCTGGTCATGCAAGTACATTGGAGCAGTATCAGCATTCTGTTTTAAGTCATTAAAAGGGGTTGCATCATGTACTTATACAAATAAGACTATTGTTCATTTTCTTTGTCATGTAGTAATCTAGTGTTATTGACAACATGTCTTTGGCTCAATTAAATTGGCATTGGATTTGAGGCAGGTCAGTTTTGCATGGAACCATCATATCCCCAAGTGCACATCAGGACTCAGTGATTTTCTGCGTAATCATCTGCGTCAGCTATGATGACTCTGTTGACTTGAAGTTCCATCCTTTTTATTGAATCTGTAAGTCCATTTGGTCCTCCTGATGATCCTTGTGATCTGCTCCCCAAGCTGTCTGTTCTATTTTAGTCACTGGCAGCTGCATCATTTCTGTTGTTCAGGTCACGAACATTTGCTTCGTTACAGGCTTCTTTCTCTTACATCAGCAAATCTTTTCAGCTCTAATTTCAAAATGTATCCAAAATCTGAACTGTGCTGACCACCTCTACTCCTACTATCGTAGGCCAAGCTACTGCCATCTCTTGCTTGGATTATTAAGCTCTCAAGTAGTTTTTCTGTGTCTGTCCTTGTCAAGAGTGATCCTGTTAAAACAAGTAGGGTTATGTTATCTCTCCACTTAAAATTCTCAGGGATGCATTCTTCATCACACTCAGAGGAAAAATCTGATAACTGCAATGTTCTACAAGGCTCTGCAGGATCTGGTTTTTTCCTCCGTCTCATACTCCATCTTTTGTTTGTTCCTTCTCTACTCAGTTATGGTCACACTGGTCTCTTTGCTGTTCCTTAGCCACATATGTTCAATAACGCTCTAGCACTTTTATACTTACTATTCCTTCTGCTCGAAATACTCTTCCTCTATGGCTCACAACTTTTTTCTGGTCACCCTATTTAATCATGCAACCTTCTTCCTCCTTTGGTTCAGTGTAACTCTCTCTTCCCTTTTCATGTTTTATTTTTTTTTCTAAATCACTTATCTGTTTGTTATCATATGTCTTAGTCTTATATTTTTAAACTTTCAGTAGATTTAGAGGCATACACAGATTTTGGTTACATGGATGAACTGTATAGTGATGAAGTCTGGGTTTTGGTGTATATGAAATCTGACTAGTGTATGTTGTACCCAAGAGATAATTTTTCACCCTTCAGCCCCATCCCACCCTCACCCTGAGTATCCTGTGTACCTTATACCACTTTGTATACCACTGTGTACCCATAGTTTAGTTCCCACTTGCAAGTGAGAGCATACAGTGTCAGGTTTTTTATTCCTGAGTTACTTCACTTATAATAATGGACTGCAGAATTCATTTTGTTTGTCTTATTTCCTGTTGTATTTCTGGCATTTTTCATAATGCCTGACACATAGTAGAGTCACTATATGTTTGTTATATAAAAGAATGAATAAATTTTTCTCAAATGTTTTGGTTAATAGTTAATACAAAGAGCCAAAAGCGGTCATGTGATGGCTAGGGTAGGGACCCATATTAGGTAGGAGAAAATTCTGACCATAACGGTCAGAATTCTGTTTTTTGGGGGGAGGGAGAGGACATACTGTTTAAAATTTTTTTTAAAATCATCTTGCATTTTTAATAATAGTGCCTAGCTGAGAAAGACAACTTACTTTTTTCTTCAAAGTAGTTACAAAATGCAGTAGGCTTGTCCTGTCCTAGGCACGGATTTTGTTTTCTTTAGAATTTGCCTTTGGGCACAGTCTCCTTTTGAATAGAATACCATAGAGGCTATTGATACTCTGTAGTTATTTGTAGATAGGTTAAATACTCAGGAGATACAATTTTTAAAAATCACACATAGCATAATACATATCAGACATGATATATCATCACTCATTTGGCGTTTGAATTAATAGTTCACCTATAAGCAAATTGAGAATATGTTGGGCCAGAGACCTATCTAAAAAAATTACTTTTGCCCTCCTTTTTTTGTGTCAGTTACATGATACCATTGAGGTGGAGCTTTAGAAGATTTTATCTATTAATGTATTGGGAATTTGCGACATCATTATTTGTTCTGCTTAGTATGTTGCAAGTAATTTGGACGTTTCCTTTGCCTTGAATTTTCTTCAGCTACTTTTGTAGGTGATGAGCTCTCTTATGAGACTGGATTAAAATCAACACAGTCGAAACAGTTTAGCCTTGTAAGGTGACTGATGCTTAATATCCCTGCCTAATTAGCTTTTGGCTAAGGATGCAAACCTATTAAGTAGCTAGTTAGTCTATGTTTCAAATAAACACATCTGGCCCAACAATGAATGAAGGTTTTTCCTGTGTGAGGGTGACAGATGTGGCGATAGTTCCCCCTGTCTCTCACTTAAATAATTAACAACATGCTGGTGAAGTAACCCTAGACAGACAGCCTCAAAGCCAGATGCCCAGTCTCAGAGCTGGGTCCATGGACATGTGCCTCATCTCATTAACCTGCTCTATCAGTTTCTTTCCCATCTTTATGTTATTTCATGAATTACATTTTGTTTGAGGATTATTCTTATAAAAACTTAGGGCTTGTGGATTTTGGTTTAAAAAAGGATTAATGTGAAGATGTTTCCTGGAAGATATGAACTGAGAATGTAGCAGAGCTGCTAGGACATAGATGTGCATTCGGAAGTTGGTGTTAGGGAGTGTAAGCAACAGTTCAAGTGATCTGGGCATGTCCTGTTCAGGTGGATCATTGTTGAGTGCTGCTCGAATGGGTCTTTGGATAACTTTCTTCAAGAGAGATCTATATTTGTTAAGTTTCTTTATTTGATATAGATATTTAGACTAAGGTTAACATGTTTCTAGTACATAAACTGAAAGAATGGTAGCAAGGTTGTTTAGTTCTAGTTCTTTCATAAACACAATTTTCTTTTAAAATGCTATACGATTAAACAAATTGTCTTACCAAGAAAAATCCATGATTATTTAGGAATTTCTTTTTAAAAGCAGTTAATTGGTACCAAACGTCTTCTTTAAGCTTGAATAGGGTGAATTCTTTGAAGTTCTTTGAATCCTCCCTTTCCTGGGCAATAGCCTCACAGTTTAGTGTGCAGATATTACGAACACTTGCGATATGAGCTTATCTTTGACCTTTGTTTGTGAGACATCAACAATAGCACAGCTGCTCTGCAAGAGTTGAGATCTCAAACCTGTAATTTGGCAAGAAGAACAGAACAAATTGGGTAAATATACATAAACACATTGTGCAGAAAGAAACACAGAACAGAATGAACCAGAGCCTCATCCTACAGTTTGTTTGATAGAGATGATTTCAGGAGGCATATGGTATAGTTAAATGTGCTTTCAAAAACATTGGCCAGAATCTTCTGGCAAATACGAAATAAATATCTAAATCAAATGAAACTGATAGTATTAGTTCTCTTAAAAGGCAGTGTGGGAAGACACTTGACAGAGTGTTTTGAGTGAGTGCTGGGGTATCTGTGTGTGTGGAAAATTTCAAGCAAAACGGAAGAATCTAGAGATCAGCAGTATGACTGACCTGGGGCTAGAGCTGACTTGGTTATGGAATCTCATTTTCCTCAACGGTGTTATTTGTTTCGTATCAAGCCTAATCTGTTTTGCCTGGATTAACATTGACAATTTTGTTTCTTTTTCTTGGTTGGGTAAATTCTGTCCTTGTTAATTTATCTTCTTTCCCAGAACATACCTGTATATATCTCTCTCTCTCGTGTGTATGTGTGTTTGTGTGTGTGTGTGTGTGTGTGTGTGTGTGTCCACACAATCCCTGAGTCCCTTATGCAGGTGATACAACCACAACTTTATTTTTTCTTCTCTTTCTTATAAGGAATGAGACTTGGTTATTTTTTAAAATTATGGATACTAGTACATTAGTTATATATCTTTATTCTGAATATAAACATTAGAATCTTGGTGAGATGGGTTAAAACTGAAGATTCTGTTTCCCTAATTCTCTACCCCACCACTACACCTCAAATGCTGGAAAATTCATCTTTTATTTCACATGGTGTATTACTTTCTGATTATATCTGTCAATGTGAAAGTTTTATCTACTCTGTATTGCCTTTCCACCCTAAATATTGTATACTGTTCTGGACAATGTCTTTTAAAAAGAACAGTATTTAATCCCAACACTCAGAGGGGAGGCCGACAAGGCATAGCCAACTATGGAAATACTAAAGAGGATACAATGTAAAATAGTGAGAAAAGATGCAATTCACGT